ACAGGACAGGGGCGCCTGGGTGGCTCACTCGGCTAAGCCTCCAACTTTGGCTCAGGTCATGATCTCCCAGTTTGTGGGTTCAAGCCCCGTGTCAGGCTCTGTGCTGATGGCTCAGACCTGGAGCCTGCTTGGGATTCTGTGTCTCCCTTTCTCTCTGACCCTCCCCAGCTCGCACTCTCTTTCTCTCTCTCTCTCTCTCTTTCTCTCTCTCGCTCCCACTCTCTTTCTCTCTCTCTCTCTCTCTTTCTCTCTCTCGCTCTCACTCTCTCTCCAAACTAAATAAACATTAAAAAAAATTTTTAATAAAAAATAAAATGCAACAGGACAACATTAACTAAGATCATGTGTCAGTGGGTTTTCCCTGCGCATCCTCTAAGTCGAGGAGCAGAGGATTGAGCCCCAGAAAATTGCTGTTAGAAAAACCAGAGCACTCCCTCTAATCAAACCTTTATTGACACTTCTGGTATTCGTGGCTGTAAGTAGTTCTGGCATTCAGAGTTGTATTTTGGGTTTCCTTTTGGCAGTGAAAGGGTCCCCTGAGAACCCTTGAGAGAAAAAAACATCCAGAGAACCAAATGAAAAGCAAGACACATCAGCTTCTAAAGAACGTCCATATTTATTTGACATAGTGTTACCATACACATCTCATGCCAACACACAGGAGGCATAGACAGACAAACGCACCAACTTTTGTGTTCCAAAGCCACATGGCAATAAATAAGGATGGGTGGATCTTTTTTTTTTTTTTCTTTTTCTTTTTTTTTCTCCAGGAAATGAGGCTTCGTTTCTGTTTAACTGTACAAAATTTACACTGCAAAGGGTGAGGGCAACAATCCAGAGCTCAGGGGGTCTGGGGCTTTGAGGTCTGAATGCGAGTGCAGAGCCGCGCTCTGGGCCCCTGCAGCCCTGAACCCCTGTGTTTGGCTGAACGCAGTCCTCAAGCGGGGAAGTACAAATGATTCTTGTCTCTAGGTGGGCAGCGGACGAGAGCGGGGGTGTCCTTCTCTGTCCACCTGTGCTCTGCCCCCCTGGGGGGGGAACACTTGGCGCACCTCCGAAGCCTGCAGCTGTCTCCTCACCAGAGCTAGCAGCATGAAACTGTGCTTTCCGTGTGGTCCTACCAAGCAGGGTGTGGATGGGATGGCTTTGCCGCGCTCTCTCTCTTTGGCTCCGGTCACCATGGTAGAGTCGTTGGAGCAACGACCGCGAAAGGGGCCAAGTGACCAATCCAAGAAAGAGAGAGCCAGTGATGTGCTTTTTATTCAGCTTTCAGCATGCCCAGAGCCCTTCAGCAGCAGCAATAAAACAAAACTCATTTCCGCTTAATTGAATTTTTCTTCATCTCACCGTTTCCAATTTTTAAAGTGCAATGTTTCAAAATGAGCCTCCTCAGTCCTTCCAGCCCCTGCTGGCTAAGGAGGTATGGTCGTTATCTCCATGGTTCTAACCCAGTTGTCAGTAGTGGTGCGTGGGAGGGGTTGCGTGGGAGCGTGGGTGCCAGACACAGCGCCGTCGTGTGGCCCTCCGGCTGAGCTGAAGCCTTCGAGCCCCTCTCGGGAGGAGGCAGTCATTTCACACTAACCGGCTTGAGCTTCAGAGGCACTAATGTCTTTTCTTCCACAGATTTCTTAGACTTTTTGCAATGGGAACTTAATTATGAAGATCTGATGGCCCCAGTGACCTTACTAGATTTCATGTTTTATTCTGGCAAGGAAACGAAAACAAACAAAAAAGCACAAGGCTTTGAAGACACTCTCAAATGCTTTTCTTATGTCTTAACGTCATTCTCTTCCTCTGATGTTTCACTGCACTAGTCTGCAGGGGTCATGTTACCAGCGTGGTAGTTGATTTTCATTTTACAGTATATTCGTAACTACCAGATGGAGCAAGAAAGAGAAAATGCGAAGATGGAGACGAGCTTGCGTGCATTGCCCAGCAAGTCCCTGAAAGGAACTAGGCTTCCCAGCACCGTGATTTACCCAGAGGGCCAGCCTCGCCCTTGGGTTTGGTATTTCCTCTCTGCTTTTCTTACTTCTCAGCAAATGTAGATTCTTCCACAGCTCCTCGGGTCCCATTTTTGCTCATACCAGTTACCCCTGGAAACTTGGAAGGGGGTGTTTTGTTTTTCTTCTTGTCTTTAATTTGCGGGTGTATCAGCCAGGCACCACAGATAATGGTAACTAGTTAATTGCTCGCTTAGAGCCAAAGACAGATCCAAATATTGTAAATGCCTCAAGAAGTTCTCATTTCATTTTAAAAATTCGTATCATTTTAGCAAAGAGGGAACAGCCCCCATGTACCTCCTTATACCTCAGTAATAGACTGTTACTCTAATATTAGACTGTCACTGAAGGAGAAATAGAGGAGTGCCCTCAAGAGAACCTCAAGGTGACGTTCTATTCATCTCCCCCTCCGAGCCACAGAAGAGCCAAGGAAGAGTGTTGGCGTGCGGTGGCTTCCTGGTGGCAATGGCCCCTCCACATGCTAACCTCACTTGCAAGGAGATACACTTAAAAGCTGAGGCCTATTGTGGCCGTACTTATAAATCAGGCATGAGTGTTCACTGCCTTCTGGGGAGGCGGCCCTAGGGAACTTCGTTCAAGCTCTCCAGGCTTTCTGGGAGTGATCCCTCAAGGGTTCCTCCAGCCGGCCAACCAAAAGAGGCTACTACCACCATCGACTGCACTGCTCACTGAGTGCCACAGGAGACTTGTGTTATCAGTAGGAATGAGGACAGCATCCATTCTTCCACCACGGAGTCAGGAGTGAGCATGATGGACTCACGTACAAAAACAAAAACAGGTCAACTTCAGGTGATCTTAAAAAACCAATGTCATACAGAGGGAGGCACGTCTCTCTAGAGAGTCTGCCCTCCCTGCACCGTGCTCACCAAAAATATGAAGTGCCTCTGAGATCTCGTGAGATACTGGGACAAATAGTCTAGCCGAGGCAGTGGTCTGGGTGGGGCAGTTTGCAGCCGGTTGGTCGCCCAACACCATCTCTCTCCTGTGTGTTGTGAGCATCCTGCTAAGAATAGTGCGTTTAAGAAGCTGTCCTCCGAAAAGACAGTCGTGGCTTCCTTTCCTTCGCGTGGCTATGCTTGTGCGCCCCCACCCCCGCTGCCAGGGCTCACACTCCTCGGGGATCCCCAGCAGCAGAATTGGCCGGGCTGAAACACACCCGCATCCCTACACCTCGGGCCTCCAGGCGCCTACATTTGTAGACTCTCCAAGCAAAAATCACAGCAACTGCAGCACTCCACAAAATCAGGGTACAGAATCCAAACTGATCAGAGAAAGCGTGGCCTGAAGGCTGATCCCAGGAATTTACTGACTATGTATTTTAAAGAAGCTTGACGGACCTCAGTTTAGTCCTGGAAAGGAATTGACAATAGATGCAGCAGCCAAAGAGGAAGTGTTTTTTGTCTACCATTAGCCTGCCTACCACATGCCTAAATCCTGTGGTCCTCAAAAGGTGATGAACTGTCCACAGAAGGAGGGGTCCTTTGGATCTCTGGCCCCATCACTTCGTGTGAAAGAAGGGCAACGCCTTGTCACCCTCTCCTACTCTCTGATCTTAAGAAAACGGAGGACAGAAACAGGAAGAAGCAAACCAGCACTTCCCAAGGGGACTGGGAGAAATCCCGCCTAGCTAAACTCCAGTGTGCACATGGACAACTTCCTGATGGGCAGAGGTATGTGGCGCGTAAAAAAAAAAAAAACAGCGCCCCACTCACCAGGCACTGCCCGCAAGCACAGGCTGCGCAGGGGTGCAGCTCCTGAAGCAGGGGTCGGCCTCGCCCTCGCCTCAGGCTGGGTGATGGGCTAGAGCAAACCTGCAGGCTCAGAGTCCACAGCCACCGGCCCAGAGAGCTCTGCCTCTCTGAGCCCAGGCCTGGAGCGCCAGCAGCACAGAGAGAGGCAGCCCAGGACCACTTGGAACCCTTTGCACCATCTTAGGGCTGCTCCGTGGCAATCCCTCCCAACCAAGAGAGGCCAAAAAGCATAATTAGTTCTTGTGAAGATTCCAAAACCATCCAACTGAGTCGGCTACCACAGTGGAGAAAGCTCTCATTTTTAAAGGGCTGGGGAGGATTGGCTGCAGGTGGGATGGGCTTGCAAACTCGTCTACACCGACTCCCGCAAATGGACTCCGTGTCATTTCAGCCTGTGGGATGCGGAGTGCCGGGAAGCAGACTGCACGCTTTCACTGATTGTCGTTCCATTCTCTCCGCATTTTAGCTTTGATCACTTTGCACCCCTCAGCCTGTCTTGTGGGACAAATGATAGGAGCGAACTAAAAAGGCACACTGTGCACCGAGGTGACTCGTCGGACAGTCACTGTGATGGTCCAGGGCCACTCAGCTCCAGCCTGAGTCACCTGCAAGGAAAATCACTTCTTGCCATCAGGGATTCAGTGACAGGGATGGGGTTTCTTTAAACCTGGCTTGGACTTCTGGGCAGGGAAGAAGTCGTATTTTTCACAGCAAAAAAAAAAGAAGAAGAAGGGGACATGTATTGAATATCAAACGGTGGCCATCAAAGTTTTCACTGACCTTTAATGAGTGACTTTTTATTTTCAAAATTAGAGTTCAATAGGGCAGTCCAGAAAATCGCTTTTATTATACTCAAGGGCCGTGATGCCTCTGTCTCAGGAATCTCAGTTCTGGTGAGGGCAGTGGTTCGGGAAGCACCTCACGAGACACACCAGTCGGAGCAGAGTTCCCAAAGGCCAAGGTGGCCTGACAGTCACCTCGTGCTACCAAGCACTGAGCAGCCAAAGCCTGTAAGCAGGGCGGGGGGGGGGGGGGCGGTCAGGGGAGGAAGCCACCAAGCAGCACCCTAGCGCTCTAGGCGGTGCGCCCCTGTGCTGTGTTCTGAGCGGAGGCTGTCTTCCCACCACTTCCCCGGGACAACGGTGCCCTAGTGTGGCCTCTCGGCTGCCTAGGGCTCAGCAGAGGACTTCCATTGAAAATAATGGAAATTCACATTGGCGCGCTTTTGATCCTTAAAAGGCAAGTCTCTTTTGATCCTTGAAGATACTCTCTCAAGCCGGGATGGGTAGGGTGGGGAGGAGAGATGTTTAAAAAGGAGGATGATCCATTTCATCGAGCCAAGAGGCGGGGCTCGTTGGAAAGTCAGGGTAGCCTACACTGCTTCCTGTGGAGATGTCAGAGGTGGGTCCCCCAGCCATGGCTCTCAGCGTCTGGCTCACTCCCTGCCCTGCATGCGCAATGATGCCCAAATTACTGTCCACCGTGTAATCCAGCCCATTGAGCAAAGGAGCGTGGGATGGCAAGGACGATGTGGAGGATGGAGACTGGGGAATTCCATAGGGGCTCCCATCCCTCAAGTCCTGATAGGATTGTCCTGTCCCGTCCATGGAGAAGCTCCCATTCATTAACTGTCCGCCTGTAACGTCCCCCACGTTGCCATAAATCCTATTGGTGTGGCCAAGTTCTGAGAGAATTTGATCCTCTGTGGACAAAAGAACGGAGATTTATTGTCAGCCGCCAGGACTCCAGCGGTCCCTGTTCTTCACAACCTAGGAATACACATGACCGAGAAAGAAGCCCAAGGATGGCAGCTGCCTCGCCACCGGGCATGAGTCAGACACCAGCACGGCGACCACAGACGGACCCACACCGAGGGGAAAAATAAGAAACACCTGCAGAGGCTAAATGCAGACCCCAGAAGGCTGGACAAATGTTTGGTGAGTCTGTTGGTCCCAGGTGGCTCGTGTACTAAGGTGGCTGCGTTAAAGAATAGGAACGCGTGAGGTTTGTGGGTCACGTGTTATCAACCTTACAAATGGAAACTACGTGCTGATAAGAGTTCATATGAAAGCTTCCAAGCTGAGAAAAGGGCTTGGTTTTGGTTGGTTGGGAAAGAAGCAGGCCCATGTGGGAAGGACAGTGAGGACCACTCAGGCACGTTTACAAAACCCTTCTGTTCTACCTGGAAGAGAGGGTCAGTAGCAAAGGACTGGGTTCCTCTCTCTACCGAATAAGCTCTTCACTGGGGACAAAGTATTGACTTGATTAAGGCAAATGGTCCTTCTCGGTTTTTTGATGACTTTTATTAAGGGTTTCTAATGGAATCTGCACTACCTGGAAGCCATCTCTCAACAGAGGCGAGCACATTTAGTCTTAAGAAACGAAGGGTCCTATAAGTACCCAGAGAGACCCGGGACGTGTCAGCCTGGGGACCCAGCTGCCGCCAACAGGAAAGAGCTGCGAAGCAAGACTTGACAATCCTGCCTGTTCCAGACGTTGGTTTCGCAGGGCAGATGGGATCAGATGGCTTTCCTAACCCCACCAACAGGACTGGAAGGGGACGTGGGCCCTTGGGCCCTTCCCCGGGCCCCGCAGGGCAGACCTCTCGAGTGAGCCACCGCCCTCTCAGGGCATCATGCTCTGGTAGGCAGCTTGTTCCATCCCCCACCCTGGGCCTGTGCACCAATTCCTATCAAGCCTCCCCACACCCGTTCCTTCTGATCGCCTGCCCTAGGCCGTCCCCTACTCCACCCTGAAAATGCAAAGGGGGGAGGAGAACTCATGCCCTTTCAAAGGACGCAGAGAGATGAAGGCTCAGCTCCACCGGAAAACGGCCATTCCTTGGCCTCCTGCCGACACCTGTCACACGATATGGCAGGGCCCTCTGTGGGGGCCATGGGCTTGCTGTGGGGACCGTCATGTCTCCGAGTATAAACCTGTGCTGAACTTCGCCCAGACACATGCACGGTCAGCTGTGTTCACTGAACCCCACAACAACCCCATGAGATGGGCAAGGCTGCAGTTCATCCCCATTTACAGAGGGGGAAACTGAGGCTCAAGAACAAGTGAATTGACTTGAGAGAGCCACAGCTGGCAACCAGATTTCTGACCCCCATCTCCCTACTCTTTCTATTCACCCATGACAGAAGACCTTCCACAGTTGAGCACTCGGTACATGAGGACAGTCATGGCTATTTGCAAACAACCTCCAGATCTGAAACATGCCGTAATTTGCAATTTTGCTGATGCACAAATCTGCAGGTAGCGCATGCTGCGAAGCTTATGTGCAGGGGACAGGATGAAGTGAGCAGTGGGGGAAGGGATTTCAGAAGGGAGGCCTGTCCCCTTCTCACAGGCACTCACAGTACTGACTTCCCAGGGCACGGGGCCTACAGAGCTGCCCCCCCCCCACCAAGAGAGGAGAGCTCGGGGAGGGGGAACCGGGGAGGGGGGCACTCCAGGGGAGTGAAGGCCAGTGTCCCGGAAGAGGAGGAGAATGCAGGGAGGGGCTGAGGGCACGGGCCAAGACACAGCTGTCTGTTCACGGCTACCCCTGTCCCAGCTAGTGAGAGAGAGCCCCAGTCAGCAGGAAAGGAGGGGAGGCCTTGGGGCCCACGGTCCTAGGGAACCCGGCGTCCACACTTCAGCAGCAGAGCTCTCTTGTTTTCTACTCCTTTCCCCCCTGGCGCGGCCTCTACCATCCCAGCCCGCCCTGTGCTGCAAGTCGCAGGGAAGAGCCTGTGTGCGGGAGGCAGGTGTCAAGGCCTCAAGAAAGATCCCTCCTGAGTCAGGAATGACTGTTTCCCGGGAGCCTTTCCTAAGGCCTCGGCCCCGCCCCCCCAGCCCTGCTCACCTCGGAAGCTCAGCTCGCTGTCACTAACCCCACAGTCCTCGGCAGAGCTCTCCCTCTCCTGCTTGCTGCCTCCCCGGCTCCTCTTGACGCTCTTATAGAACTGCCCCCAGCGATGCCGCCCCGCGTCCTTCTTCAGGCGCTTCTCCTTGGCCCTTCTGTTCTGAAACCAAACCTGCCGCACAAGCAGAAGGGACACACTGTGGGGGCGTCTGCCACAAACCCAGAGCCCCCAGGGTCCCCAAGACAGGCAGCCGGAGCCAGGCACAGAAGCCTCCGTGGAATTCAGGGCCGGGCGTGCCATGTGTCCACGGCTCCCTCCGCCCGGGCTCAGAACCCTGTCTCTGTTTCCACAAGCTTCCCGGGGTCACGGCCAGAGCCCAGCTCCCCGGGGCGCGCCCTCGGCCTCCCTCCTATGGAGTGTAGAGCGCACAGGACGCCCCCGGAAGGCAGAGGCGGCCAGGGGCCGGGGTAGTGGGTGTCTCACCTGTACGACCCTCATGTCCAGGCCGGTCTCCGAGGACAGCTGCTCCCTCACGTGCCGGGCAGGCTTGGGGGAGTTCTTGTAAGCATTCTTTAACGTCTCCAGCTGCTTGGCTGTGATGGTGGTCCGGGGCCGCTTCGCTCCGGCCTCAGAGTCATCTGCAGTGAAGACCACCCCTTACAGGGCTCTGCCTGTCTTGAGTGGCTGGGGCTCGTCCCCCTTCCTCCTCTCCTCACGCAGCCCTTCCCACCATGGGCAGAGCACGGCAGGAATGGTGAAGGACAGAGTGGCACGGTCCCCACCCCCACGGAGCCCCCTCCTCACCACAGGCCCCCCCGACTCACAAGAAAGTGAGGACAACAATTCCTCCCTCAGCTCCCCACTTTTCTCGGTCCCCAGCCAGTCCCGCCCCCCAGGGGCTCCCACCAGACTAGAGTGGACAATTCCATATGCTTCCCTATCCTGGCAAACACTCTGGTTGGACATCCTTGTGAATCAGTAGCTGGGCTGTGAGGGTGACTGAGCCAGGGTGGGTGAAGGGTGTTCTGGGCCGCCCCAGACGCCCCTGCCCCTCCTCACCTCAGGCCCCTTCCGGGTGGCCTCCCTGGGCTCAGCGGGGGTGACCCCTAAGCAGTGGTCATCAGTTATGGGTCAGAAACCACGAGTGGGCTGTCATGTCAACTGAGAAACTTTCGAGGAAGTAGGATGGATGGGATGAGATGGGACAGATGACAGCAAGCACTGCTTCATGGGACTTGCTTAGTGCTCACCGAGTAGGTGTGGTGAGCTGAAAGGTAAATGAGTTTCTTACTCTGGGTCACAGCCACAATTTTTATAAAACCACCGGTCTCAAGAGTGTTCAGGACAACACGCCGGCCCATCAGCCTCCAGTGGATTCTGAGCAGAAGAGCCTCCCGTCCCTGTTAGTCAGAGACTGGTTTGTTCGGTCAGGCACAGAGGCACCTGGACGCAGTCTGCAGCTCACAGCCAAGTGCAGACGGTGTGTCTCCTCTCCCAGCACGAGACTTAGATCCCTCCTCGGCATGGCATCCCCGAGTCGCCAAAGAGTAGGCCAGCCACCATGTCCCTGGCTCTCTGGGTTTTCTGTGCTTCCTCCCCTGCGTGTCCTGTAAACTGTCTCTGCCACATTCCCACCTGTTTCTTTCTTCCTTCCCGTTCAAGGAAACCCTCTCTTAGGAACAACAGCAGCCAACACTTCCGAAGCACTTACTACGTGCCCGGTGCGATCTGAGAACTTTATGTGCATACGGTGCTCACGTTCTGAAAAGGTTTTCTTGCAGCCGGAACACTTGGGCTCAGCATTCTTGAGCTGAGCGAGTTACCTCCCCACTCTGGAGCCCGGGGTGACGCGGCCTGCCCTGAGAAGGGCTGCGTGTTGTATGACCCGAGTCCACACTGCAGTCATGGACACAGCAGAGGGAGGACGAAGTCCCTGGTCCTCTCTTCTCCTTGGGCTGTTTCTCCAGCAGAGCTATCATCGTCCACAAATCCCTGCCACCCAATCCCTCCCTTGGAGCCCTGGATCCAAAGAGAAAGGCTTTTAGAGCCACTGTGGCAGAGACCGAGGAGAGCCTCCAAAAGTCTTTATACTTTAAACTCTGTTATAAGGACTCAATTCCTTCTGCCCGCATTTATAGAGATAATAGCATGCCAGCATTTGATGCCACTATGAAAGAGTGCCCTTTTAAAATACCTGTATAGGCTTTAGATATAAAATTTGAAGTCAGAAATCCATCAAAAATTTTAATTCATCAAGAATTGGCTAACTTTTAAATAGGCTGGCCTTGTGGTTTAGAAATGGTTGCCACCATGGCTGGACAGCAGCGCTACTGGGATATACCCATCATCCTGGGCTGGTGGGCCACTGGGATATACCCGTCATCCTGGGCTGGTGGCCCCTCGATTCAGAATTGCTGTCTACGTCCACAGGACTTCCTTCTTGAGATTATGGGAACTATTATGCTGTTATTTTAACATTCACTGTTATTATAATTTAAAATCTTTTTTATATCCTATAACAATGTCATCCAAGTATTCATTAAGTAGTGGTGGCAGTGCTCGTGCTGAAAAATGTACCCAAAAATCAATAACTTTGGTACGGAAGTTAAATGTGATAAAATGCTATGAAGAAGGCCAAGCAAGACCATGATATCCTAGGCTGTTAATTTAGGAGAGAGCATTCTGTGAGGTATTAGAGATAGTGCTGAGAAAATAAAAAGTAGCATTAAGGCAAAGATACACTTCACCAGTTATGGATTTATGTGCTTCCAGAATACATCCCCCCCTCCTACTTTTTACATTAATTCCTATGGGAAAATTAGTCTTAAAATATGTTAGTTTTGAATTATGCAGGGTCTCCTAGCACTTGTCCCTGGCATAAAATGCAACCTCATTATATTGAAAATGCAAATATCCAGGAAGATGTAACAAATGAACAAAATCATTCACACTAAGGTACAAATAGCTGATATTAGGTCCTTTGTGTAGCACGAGGGAGGCAACCGTAAGTCCGAAAGAGGGTTTAGATTAGCAAGGAGGAACTAAAGCAAAAAAAAAAAAAAAAAAAAAAAGCCAATGTTCCAGAGCAGATAAAGGTCCCCTGCTGCACTAAGGATCACTCCGATCTCAGGATGGGGCACCCAGGCCCGCTGACAGCAGAGGCAGGAGGGACCCGTCTGGAATGCGGTGTAACCTCCCGCTACTTGGAAACCTAACAGTGGATCTAACCTCTCTGTTGCCCCTCTTCCTCGCTGGTGCCACCCGCATTCAGCATCCCATTCCACAGGCCTCATCCTAATCGACCCTCAGGAAACAGCTCCCCGTGGCAGGTGCTGTTCCGCCTCCCACACTGAGCTGAGGAGCCAAGGTTCAATCAGTTACACAGCTGGCCAGCCCTCCCCCCGCACGTTAGTGACTGGGCAGAGATGCCCCCCGGCCTCTAATGCCAACTCCAGTGTCCTACAGAGGTCTGCTGCGGCACACACGATCCCTGATGCAAGTGTTCGCCCGACTGTCGTCCTCGCCTCCCCAGCTAAGTCTCCCCCTCCTCTCGAACCATCCCTAGCAGAGCTGGGAGCTAGGCCGGGATGCTCAGGGTCCAAACAGGGCCTCAGATGGAGAGAAACAGCCGCCCACCCGGAGGGAGCTCGTGCATTCTTAGTATCTCTGGGGAAGGGCATCTGACTTCCAAAGGCAGCTTGGGATCTCTGAGTCCATCTGCCTTGATGGCTTATCCCCGACAAGAAGCCCTAATCTTCTGTGACATCATAATCGATTCCAGAGCAACAGCATCGAGGGAGTTTTAAGGAACCACAGGAGATTAATGCATTAAGGCAAAGAGCCTGAGAACAGGCTTGCCGAGGTCCCAGAAAGAAGGGAAAGGGGGCTTTTTCCCTTTTTCTGTCCATGTCAAAAGGCCAGAGCTGGGTGGGGGGGCTCTGGGAGGAGAGAGGAACCCCCTGACTCAGGCGCCCCTGCAGAGCCACCCTGCCTGCCTCGCACGGAAGCCAGCTGCCTCTCCAAAGGGGCCCCTGTACCTCTGCCTCCTCACCACCACAAAACCCTTCCTTTAAACTGCAGCTACTACACAAAATAATGGATTTCTCCATATAATGGAGAATGGATCAGATCTATATAACACACACGTGCCTGGAAAGATCTAGAAGATGCATGAAATTGTTGCTGCTTTGTGTTTGTTTGTTTTCTATCAAGCCCAGACCTGTCAAGAGCTGCTTTCTGCAGTCACACCCTGAGTTGATAAAAATTCTAGTCAAAGGCAAATGACCTTGATATCTTGTGAATTTTGTGCATCTGAGATTCCCAGGTTGAGTTTGGCCAAATGCCCGATTTGGAGCCACGGTGGAGGGCACACCACCTGGGGGCACCGCTGTGAGTGAGGAGCCTGAGTGGGGCTACAGGAGACAGGGAGTCAGGCTTGGCCTTCCTGAGGGGTCCTGAGGGGTCCTGAGGCCTTCCCCGGGCTGTCTAGGGCCCAGAGTGGCTGCTGCCCAGGCCGCCCATGTGACGGCAGGTTTTCCAGGTGTGGCAGCCACATGCGTGGGGCCTGACACCAGCCTCAGCCCTGCAGAGGTCTCTGGGAAGACCCTGGACAATGGCCCTGAGGGGACTGAGGGGGCTGGGGGAAGGGGAGGTGGACGGGAGGTTATGTGGTAGATCGGAGTCCAAATGTGAAGACTCGCCAAGCACTTGCTCCTGCATCAGGGATGTCGGGAGACGCAAGGAAGGGCGAGACCCTGCCCTGGACAAGCCCACAGTCTGAGAGCGGAAACAGGACACAGTTGACTGAAATAGGAGCTGACTTGGGCCATTGCTAGTGCTCTCACTCACTGAGGCCTTTGAGGCGTGGGAGTGCCAAGGAACACGTGAACCCCAATACCCAAGGCTGATGAGCAACCCCGTGCGGGCAGCAGACAGCACACCTTCCCAGCCCCGCCCCCCCCCCCCCC